GGCTGGACCCGGAGAAATCACGGCTCAAAGTCCAGCCCAAAACTGCCCAGGAATCAGAATCAGCAAACCTGCTCTTCCCTGCCTTTCCCTCTCCTCACGAGTCCAGCGTCATGGACCGTCATGGACCGGGATCCCAGCTAGCTTGCCTCAAATTCCTATTCATTCCCCTGCCTTATTGTGTCTCTTGCCAAGGCTCTGCCTTCGGCCCAGCAGCGGAGGAGGGCCAGGCAGATGCTTGGCCAGCCAGGCTTTCCTCAGAAGCTTTGGAAGCTGGGTGCTCCTCGGGGGCTTCAAGGGACGGGGTGACTTTGCCAGCTCAGCCCGGGACTCAGGAAGGCCAGGATCAGTGTGAGACGGAGGATGCAGGCCCCACAGGAGAAGAAGAAAGGCAAGCCGCAAAGACATTTGTTTCCTCTGCCCTGGGATCATTCCCAGCATTTAGACCAAGCCCTTCCAGGACCAGGCAGCCCTGAACCGCCCGAGACAGGGGAGGAATCAGAATAGAGGTCACGCAGCCGGAGATCAAGCAGAAAGACAGAAACTGGAGAGTAGAACAGCTGACCTGCAGCTTCTCTGATCTTTGCTGCTGATGGCATTGACTTAGTGAAGCCCCTAGAGACAGCCTCAGACTGGTCCAGACCCAAGGGCAGCAGCCTCTGCATGGGGGAGGCTCCAGGGCCCCTATGCCAGGGTCCTGGAGGGGCCCAGAGGGACCCCTGCAGAACAGACTCAGGGTTTCGGCCAGGCCCACCCGCTCTCGATCCCCTCACTCTATCACTGGTTTCTTTAGAAAATGTGTCACCATCTGCAGGGATCTTCTTCGATTAAGTTACTTGTATCTTGTCAGCTTCCCCCTCCATTAAAAGCTCTGGAAGAATGAGAAGCCCAGCGCTATCCCACAAGAGATGTGTGTCCACTGATTGACGGAGGGACTTCTGGCCGCTAAGTAAACCCCATCTTCCCATCTGCTATGGGACCACCTCCAGAGCCACTGAGGCCCGCATCTCGCTGGGGGCAATCTGAGCCCGGAAGGACATTGAGCAGAGGCAAAGCAAGAGGGCCAGATCTTGGCCTCAGCTGTCAACAGAGAGAAGTGGCTTGATGGCACACTCTTCAGTCCCATCATTCTGGAGAAAGTCATGGGCGTTGAGAGTCAGGAGGGCCCCGGAAACAAGGAACCTCAGCAGTCATTCACTGTAGGAAACCCCTATGGTTTCCCAAGGACACTTGGTGGAGCCCAAGAGCGTCAGCACCCCCTCCGACAGGGCTCCCGATGGAAGTATCTGCATTCCCTGCACCCACGGGCTGCCGGGGAGCCAGAGCCCATGGGTCTCAGGTGTCCCCATCCTTCTGGGTGTGAGAGCCCCAAGAATTCCGATATTGACTTCATGCTCTCCAAAGACAATGCTGTCTTCCCTACCATTTCAAAGGATAAGTCAGAAAGGTGGGTGAGTTGTTTCCAAACCAGGCTTCCAGAAACTACAAAAGAAGGTGCTTTTCCTAGTGGAGTAATACATGAATCAACACGCAGAGGAGAGCTCATTAACCTTTGAACTTGAAGGTAGCTGAGTGCCTTCTGCTGTGTGGCAGGCTGGCTCCCCGTGGGGACTCTCAGGGGCCAGGTGTGCTTGGAAAGGAGGCCCAGTTACCTAAAGGTAGAAAAAGATCCTCCCTCTCCCTCCCCTCCCTTCCCCTCTCCTTCTTCCCCCCCCCCCCCCCCCCGCCTTCCCCCCTCAAGGTGCTGTACATCCCCTGCCATCCCCCAGGAGCTACTCCTCGGGAATCCCCTTCTGAGTCAGAATGCTCTCCTGGAGGTCGGGGGTAAAACTTCAGTCTGAATCTGGCCGACATCCAGGAACCCTTCGCAGGCTCCTGTGTGTGAGTGCTGCTGGGCATCTGTCCTTCTGCCTCTCCCGCACCTCCTCCGCCTGATTAGGTGCTGGGCTTACAGGAGACATTCACCTGTGGCGGCTGAAGGAGGAAGCCGGGCCTGCTCGTGGGGGCCGCTGTGTGAGGCTCAACTGAGTTGGGCAGTTGTGGGGTTCAGGCCAGCTTTCTGCCTCTCTCTCTCCAGCCTAGCATGCACAGATGAGGCACTTGCCTTTCTGTGAGCCCCCAGAGTTGGGTGAGGGCTCTGCAGCTTCCTGGGCATCAGCATGAAGCTTCTAGAAAGGCGGCCACAGATCTTCCAGGGTGGCCGTCCTGCCTGAGACCTCTCTGTGAATGTGGCACCTCAGCCAAGTAGGACTGGGAGGAGGGGTGACAGAAGAAAACTGGGGCCCTAGTTCTCTGGGAGACTTCCGGCCGGCCCCAGGCCAGCGCCCCCAGGCTCACACAGCACTCACCAAACCCTGCTCGTTGGTGTCACCCGGCACAACAGCACTGAGCGCCGTGACAATTGCCGCCCTAGAAAAAGGAGTCCTTTGATGATCTGCTCCATCACCGGGCTTAGGAAAAGCACAGGTTGCCTGAGCCATCCTTCCCAAGCGTTGGTCACTAAGCAGCAGCTTTCAGCCATCACTTCCTCCCAGTCACTGAAAACATTTGTCATTTCCTGTTTTCTCCATTTCCCAGCGATTCTAATTGTCAGTGTCAAAAGGCAACAACTGTTTTCTCGGGGCTTATCTTTGGAGCACATTGATTCAGAACAAAGGATGGGGGCCTCCGTCTGCCAAACAAAGGAAGCAGCCTCCTGGGGAGGCCTCCTCTGCCAGGGCCAACAGGACCAGGCCCAGAGCGGCGGGGCTGCGGGCCTCCAGACGCCCAGCCTAGCGAAGAGACTCCTGCTCCACGGTGGCGTCCCAGCGTCCCAGGATGCCGGAGGCCCAGCCCTGTATGCCAAGTGTCAACGTGCTGTTTAAACCTGGGAGTTGCCGTAGCCATCCCGCTGACCAGAGTCCCCCTTAAACTCGGGAACCTCCGGATCCCGTGCTTCCCTGGATGAACACTGGACTTTCATCTGGCCAACACCACCCAGTCCCTCCACCCTTGACCCCTACCCCAGCCCAGCCTTCTCTTTTATTTCCTGTGCCCTTGGAGTGTCTTTCCTCTACCGCCTTCCCTTCGGACTCTTCTGCCTTTCCTCTGCTTTTTCCTTGGCTGTGCTCGGTAGCCTCTACCTGTCCCCCCACCACCCCCAACCCCCACTCTTATACAACTGCGTTGTTTGAGGGAACTGATGGGGCAGGCGGTGCAGACGGATTTAGGGTTGATGTTGACCCAGCCAGCCACAGGAGCCGGTCTCCAGAAGCAGCTGGTCCCCACAAGCAGTGGGCTGAAGAGGTTAGAGAGGCTGGAGCGCTGGGTCTTCATTTAGGAGGCATTGCCCTTCCTAGATGTGCCACTTTGGGCTGTCATTTAAATTCTCAGGGCCTCACATGTCTCATCGGTAAGCTGGCGCCGTGGATCTTCTGCCCAGATCTCTGAAGGCTGGCATAGGGCCCAGGGGAAAAACGGAAGGGCAAGGGCTGCCCCCAGAGGGGCAGGCAGAGCCGAGCTTCCATGCCCCACTTCCTGCCTTGGGCCATCATGTGATGCCCGCGCTCCTCAGTGGCCAGATCCCTATCCAGAATGACATAGCAGGGACAACCTCAAGGAGGACGTGAAAGAAAGGGTGTAGGCGGCTCAGTACAGTGAGCACGTGTGGGCTGGCCCCGGGCCCCCCCCAGGCTCTAGCAGGAAGAGGGCAGTTCCATGGGCCGCCCGAGGCGTGGCCCCAGTGGAGGGGAGCAAGGGCCCAGACAGGAAGCAGGCTAAGGAAGGGACAGTGAAATGGCTTCTGTTGTTGTCTGCCTGTCCCATGAGGGCTGAAAAGCAGGTCCTGCCGGGCAGCCTGTGTTCTAGGTCAAGTCCTCTGGCATCTGGGGGTGGGGGTGGGGTGCAGCTCCACAAGTAGACTAAGGTGGGAGAGGCTCCTTCCTGACCCAGCTGCCTTGGTCGTCAGCACCCTATCAAGCAGGCTTCCTGAGAAGGGGAGAGAGATGGCAGTGGGTGAGCACTGCACTGGGAGTCAGACCTGGGTCCCATTCGCAACCTGACACCAAAGGGCTGAGGGTCTCAGGACAAACCTCGCTGCGGGGCCCTTGTCTGTTTCTCCGCTGGCTACGTCCTTGAGCCACTCCCAGACCCAGTGCTGGGGCTACAGCCCTGAAGCTTGGCTCCTTCCCCGGCCCACCAACTGCCCCTGCGATGGAGACAGGAAGCTTGTCCCAGTTGCCCATGCTCCAGCCAGGCAGGAGAATGAAGGGAAGTTGGCAGTGAGTGGCGACACTGGGTGGCAGACAATGCATTTATCTGACCGTGTGATCATCCTGCCATTCATACCAGCACCGCCCAGAACGAGCCTGGGCCCTGTCCCCGTGACAGCCCGGCAGAGGCTAGGTACCCACATAGCCACATAGCCCAGCGTCAGCTCTGCCCCATCCACAGCATCCCTCGTTTGCTCTGCCATTCGTGGTCCTCACAGTTCCGGGTCCGAGCCTTACCCCATCACTAGTGTCCTCGCAGTACAGCCGGTCCATCTGGGTCTCCCTGAGACTGGCACACCCAGACTCTTGTCCACACTGTAGACATGGTCTGGCCAAGGCAGAGGAGTGCAGGACTGTCACCTCCCTCCTTCTACATACTCTGCTTCTATTAATGCAGCCTAATGTTACATTTGCTCTTTTGGTGACCACATCTCACTGCTGACCCATCCTGAGCAGAAGGACATCCAAAATGCCTGAACCTTTTCTCTGTGTGCTCTTGCTGTTAAGCTCTGTGTTTCCTGCCCCATCCTATGCTGTCGCAGTTGATTTCTTAACCCAGGTGCAGAATCCTACTTTTGTTTATACCTGTGGAATTTTGCTCGGGAGGGCGGGGCATGCATGCAAGTGTGTGTTGATGTGTTCACTCATGCTTTCTGCTACACCAAAGCCAAGTCCTGGGCCCCCACACAGCAATCCCAAGGCCAGTTTTCTTGGTAGTCACTATCTAACACGTCTTTCTCATCTTCTGTTTAGCGAGAGAAGCAGAGATCAGGTCTTACGGCAATGACCCCTGAACAGCGGAGTGCATATATTGCCCAACAAATGAGTCAATTTCAAGGTAAGCAGTTAAGGTCATTGTTCCCAAAGGGCAGGCCTGGGAGTGTGTGTGGAGAGGGTACGGGGTGGTGAGAATTCACTCCAGCATAAGCAGTCACTGTCAGTGTTTCTGAAAGTTCTGAGGGAGAGAAGGGAGGTCTGCAGCTCAGTTCAACAGCACACAGGATGGGATCGATCCCACATTGAAAGCTTCAGTAGGATCTCAGTTGAAAGCCAGGTTTTAATGACTCTAATATCAGTGCTTAATTCAAGAGATTAATTAGACTGAATCAGGCCCCTTAAAGCAGTTATTCTCAAAAGGAGAAAGGCACACCTTCAGCTTTCTGATCCTGTCCTCCCCACACCCACAGCCGCTGCTGGAGTGACCTCCCATTCTAAATATTCCTGAGCCATCTCTGAGGTGTGGGAAGTGGAGCCGGCATTGGGGATGCTCTTCCTCAAAGGGCCTGTGGCAGGGGCTGCCAGAGCCTTCACGGATAGCAGGGGTCCCCACCCTCTACCATGGCCACTACAAATGTAATCCACATTTATGGGCCGGGGATACAGAAATTAACAAAAGATGTCAGGCGTGGTCCCCACTTCGTGGAACTTCCAGACTAGCTGGGGACATGTGTGTTAAACAATCTCTATGAGCCAGTGGAGTGACCTTGGTCCAGGACAAGAGGACTCTAACCTGGGACGAGGGGTGGCTGCTTGCCCTCTGGCAGGTGGTCGACATTTTCATTTTAGCCCAGTGCCAACTGCGTTCTCCTGCAAGAAGCCCTATTCCTTGGGGCCTGATGCCAGCTGAATGTCCCAGCTGCCCAGGCTGGAGGGACATGTCAGGCATGCTTCAGTAGCAGTCACAGGACAGACAAGTTCCAGGAAGGCCAGCAACAAGGGGTGGATATATGTCAAGGCGTGCCCGGTGCCAGGCCTATGTACAGAGTGCTGAACATATAAGCAAACCCAGACCCTGGCCTTGTGAAGCTTATAATCTACCTGAAAAAGTAGACCCTATAAGCTGGCATTTTCATACGATGTGATCATCTCTTGGTGCATGTGTTCGGGGTAGCTGGGAGCACAGACCGGAGATTCGGGGAGGGCTTCACAGAAGAACCGCAGTCGGCTGAGGGTATAGGAAAAAGGGGAGTTGAGAGGAGTTGGGGAGCCAAGGGCGGAAGGCAAGAGATTGATGCTGTAGCCCAGGTCACGGATGACTGTGGCACTGACCCCCACTTCTCTCTTTCGGTAGCCGTCCAAGAACAAGTCACCTCCAAGTGTAGCCAGACTAAGGCAAGATCCCCATGTAGTCAACCCATGATACCACCCAGAGCGGGGCTCCTTCAGAACAATCCGAATCCAGCAATGATCCCACCCACCAGGCACCAGAGTCGCAAGGGCATGGACATGGCTTCGCTGACTCCGACTCCGGGCAATCAACAAGGAATTTTCAACCCTAACCCTCCATTTCCCATACCCTCACGCTTGGGCCAGAACCCCCCAGGCAGTGCCCGTCTGCAGATTGCCAAGGCCATCCCCCCAGGAGCGCCCCTGCCTGGGTTCTGTCCCAGACCCCTGGGCAGCCAGCTTCCAAGTCCCCACCAGCTCAGACAGCCCTGTGTGCCAAGAAATCCTACAGATGCCGCGTGGGTGGCGGCGGCAGCAGCTGGGACCACAGCGGTCTCCAGGGAGCCCCCTCTTAGCCACATAGACCTTAGCATCCGGCCGCACTTGGAGAGCAACTCGATCTTCACCAAGGCGCCCACCAGAGCTCCGGTGGGATCCCCAACATTTCCATCACAGCAAGCAGTTGTGCCCCCCAATCAAGTGGCCCCAGGAGGCAGGCCTGGCCTGAAGGTGAGCTTCGGCCTTCTGGGCAACCAGAGTCTCAGGCAGAACCCAGTGCAGGGTCCCGTGCTGGTGTCCAGTGCCACCAAGTCCCTCCAGCAGGGCATGGCTGGCTTTGGTCCTGTGAGTCCCATAGAGGGCATCGAGCCGCCAAGCTATGTGGCTGCTGCCATCGCCACCAGCCAGTCCCTGGGTCCATTCAGCAGAATGGGCTCCCCCCCTGAGCTGCCACCTTATGACTTTCTGGCCCCGCCCCAGCCCCAACTCAACGGTGTGCTCTCAGCCCCTGACTACAGTGAGGTGGATTTCATTGACGCTCTCCTGAAAGGCCCCAGAGGGAGCCCCGAGGAGGGCTGGGTGTGCAACCTGAGGCTCATCGATGACGTTTTGGAAGAGCACGCTTCCGCTGCCGCTGCCGCTGCTGCCACCACTGCTGTCCCCCAGAGCGCAGGGGGGCTTTAAGTGCTCATAGAAATACCCACACCCACACCACTTTAGGCAGTGGCGTGCAACGCCATAGCAAATTCACCACCTGCCCCCCAGCCACGCAGTTGTTTCCTCCCTACGATGTGAGTGGCACCCGCCTGTGCTCATCCCTCTCTCTACCTGTGACAAAGTGGAAAGCTGGTGATTTTTCAAGCTACCTGTACATATTTGAAAATTTTGTAAATGGTTTTCCTAAACGTTAATGACAGAAGTATTTATACTTCATTTTGTGACTTTGTAAATAAAGCGACGGCTTTTGTTTCAGTAGAGTTGTGTTTATTATGCATTGTTTGTGTTTATTACACACTGTTGCAAATACGCAGGCTGTGTATGGAGCTCCAGCGCTCCCTTGTGAAGCCCCAGTGAAGCTTCCCTTAGAAGCCACGGGGTTGAGTCGCTTATGGTTTTGATGCAATGAGATATGTGGATGTGACCAAGAGGCATTGTACAAACTGACAAAGGCCAAATAGAAACCCCTTGGCCATTTATGGCCAAATAGAAACCCCTTGGCCATTTATTGCAATTTTCAGTAAAAATGCTATCGTCTTGTGTGATTCTTAAAATCTATTGCAAACCTGTTAGTGTCCGCCTGGTGCGCATATTACAGGTGGCCCGCAGGGGAAATTTTCCAGAAGGCTTGGAGTTCTTCGGATTTGGGAGGGGTGTAGAGAGGGCCTGTGAGCTGAACACTGGCCATGCTGTCCATGCTGAGCATCCAGGGTGTCCTCCCTCTATCATTGAGAGAAACCCCCAGGCTCCCACTTCCCCAGTGGCACCTTGCAGGGCGGAGGTGAGATGTTCCTGGTTTAAAGCCCTTCAGTGTTTGTTTTCATGTAAGGTCTGTGGTTGGGGGTGGGGTGGGGGGGAGTCTGTAAACATTAATAGTTGACTTGGGGTTTGTCTTTGATGGCTTTTATCTGCAATTATCGTCATGTATATTTAAGTGTCTGTTATAGAAAACCCACACCCACTGTCCTGTAAACTTTTCCTCAGTGCCCAGACTTGTGTAATCAGTTTTAATTGCCACCTCCTCTTTTGCCTCTACATTTGAAATCTGGCATCTGTTTTCAGCCAGTGCGTTTTTTCTTTGTACTGTAATAAACAGCCAGGAGAAAAGTGCCTCTATGTTTTCATTGTTCAAGGGATCATCCGACGTCTCTGTGTCCACTAAGCCTCCTGGTGACTTTGGTCCTTTCAAGAGGCTACTCGGTGCCTTGTGCAGTGGGAAGATGCCACAGCGAGGGCTGATGGGTAAGAAGTCTGTGAAGCCCCTCATTTTCTTTTTTTACCCCAAGGCCTTCATTTTACAGAGAAGGAAACAGAGGCCACTTTAGTAGCTGCGCCGGCGGCAGGGGGCAGGGGTGACTTGCACCGCCAATCCAGACTCTCAGCCCCAGCCCCCGTCCTCTTTCCACTGAGGGGGTGACAGACCCAATTAAAGATCCGTATTCTTCCCATGCAAGGGACACCCAAATAGGGCACAGGGCGGGGGGCGCGCTGAGACAGGTGGCACGTCTGCTGCACGGAAGAGGGAAGTCATGCCTCTTCGCAAGGACGGCCGGGGAGACTGGGACTTGCCGCGCCCCCTCCACCTCCTCTCCCAAAGCCTGGGCTAAACCCAGCCCAGTGCCCCCCTGAGTGCGGAGCTGGAGGAGCTCTGGGTGCGGGGGCTCCAGGGCCGCAGAGCTCCGCTTCAGGCCCCGGACCGCAGTGGAAGGGGAGTTACAGCGGCACTTCGCCCGCCCCCCGTCCCGCCCCCGTCGAGCCCCGCCCCTTCCCAAACCCCGCCCCCTGGAGTCGCTGCACCGCCCCTTCACTCCCCACCTGCTGCCCCCGCCCGGCCCCCTACGGTCCCCTACCGTCCCCTACAGTCCCCTCCGCTCTTCTCCCAGCAGACCTTTGCAGCACGCGGAGTGGCTGTCGGTTGTTTCCGATTTAAACTGCACGAAATCCACAGGGATTTCCGTGACTCCACACTCGGGCCACCCCCTCACAGCGACAAAGTGGCTTCCACAGAGCTTAATATGGATTTCGCTTATGGTCGGGCCTCATTGAGAGGGGGACCCTAATAGGATGGCGGGGACCCCTGCCTCTCCCATGAAAGCGCACGTCCCCCACCCCCGAAGGCAGCAGGGAAGCAAGCTACTTGGGAGGCCCCTCCCTGCCGTGTTCTGGAAGAGCAGAGCGGATCACTGGTTGGCATCGTTTGTAGTGCAAACCGAATACATCACATGTATCCCCCAACTGCCTGGGACTACTGATACCCTCATCCTGGATGTACAAAGTGTTCCACCACAATGGCACACTTTGGGGGCTGAGGGACGCATGGACGCCGAGGCATCCTGTCCTGTCCAATGGAGCCTAAAAAGCTCCAGGACCACGCCTTCACCCACAATTCTCAATGGCTGAGACTAAGAGCAAAGATGGACAGCCTTCCGGCCAGCGGGGTGGAGGACACCGGCATTCCCCAAAAGCCCCGCCCCTGGCCTCCTGCTCCATACAGGCCCCTCCAGCTTGCAGAACATTCTTCCCAGGTCTGGATAACCGATGTGTCCTACAGGTGTCCCTGAGCTATGGGCCTCAACCGCTGTCACAGTCTTCGCGCCCTCTCCCCCAGGCACTCACAGGCAGCACCTCCCCAGGAGCCTTCCTCGCTGGGGCTCCCAGTGTTACCTTAAGTGCCCTGGGTTGCCAGGCTCCAGGCAAGCCCCAGCTTCACCTCAGGGCCATGCTGGGGCACTCAGGTCCAGCTCTCCTGTCTCCTGTCTCTGACGGGCCCAGGGGCATCAGGGGTGGGGCCCCGTGCCCTTCCTGATTCTGTGTTGGACCCACCTGCCCAGTGACTGTTGCTCCCAGCCAGCCAGTGAGGGGCCGAATCCCTGTAGACCCCCCAACCCAGCCCTCCCAGTCAGGCTTCCCCAGCCTTCCAGAGGGCTCTGGGAGCCATAGCTGTCCCCACTCTGCTGACTGTCCGGGCCCCCAAAGAAAAGCTGAGCTCAGCCCACTGGACCAGTGCCAGCCAGCCATGACCTTGAGGCTGAGCCAGCGTGGACAGCAGTGTTGACGGCTCCCTGAGCAATTCCCACCACCCCACCTGCGCTGGTCTCACTGTCCCCCCCCACCCCTGCCACCACCCCACCTGTGCTGGTCTCACTGCCCTCCCCCACCCTTACCATCCTTTCCCTCTGACCTCGGGCCCTTCCCTATTCCTCCAGCATGGTTGTCCCAGGTTTCTCCTTGGAGGCGACAGCTCCCACTGTTCTGCCGCCACTTAGCTCCCCTCTCTTTTGTACCTTCAGCCTCTCCTCTGCTGGATTCCACCCAGGGGCTCCCAACCCAGCCATGTTCAAAAAGCCCTAAATATCACAGCCCACCCAGCCACGGCTGTAGCTCCCCACCACCCTCCCACTCACTCCTCAACCAGAGTGCCCGGCTCCAGTCCCCACTCCTTCCCCTAAGCACACTGCTCAGAGTACGGGTTCCGCCTGGTGCAAGTCCAATGCAAGCTTCCCAGTCCTCCGTGGATTTGCCCCTTCAGCAGCACTGGACTCTCCCTCCTTCCAGAAAAGCACTGGCCCTGAGCTCCTGGAAGCCTCTGGCCTGCAGCCTAGCCCTCTCCTGCTCTGAGATCTGTTCTGCCCTGCATCTCTGTGAGAAGACACTGCTCTCCCGGCGCTTCCTCTCACTCATGTAGGACTTCCTTCCCCTTCCCCTCCCTTCTCCTGGGCACACAAAAGGGTTTCGAGCCTGCATTCCAGCATCTCGGCATCTTGATGGCCCGGTGAAGAAGAGTGTGGTGCATCTGGGCTAGGCCCTCGGTTTCAGTCCCCAGGGGAATGCTTAGGGACTGGGCTGAAACTCTCTAGGCCCCTTGAATAAAGAATGAAAGAGCTTAGAGTCCTCCAGATGCCTCCCACGAAGACAGTTCTCCCCGCTGTGCTTCGGACCACAGCACTCTTGGGCAGAGTCCCTCACGGCCCCTGGCCTGTGCGAGTCCTTCCCACAGGAGCTTGCGGGCCAGAACCCGAAGGCCTTCCCACAGCCGCGGGGAAAGAAGCAGGATCACTCCCTCCACGCCCCATCCCAGCACCCGCTCCCAACTCTGAGGTCAACCTCAATGAAAATGCTAGAAGGCCCCAGGGACCTTTGTGAGACCCCAAGGCCTCCCTCCTTCACTAGAGTAAGCTCAGGCCCCTGGAGCCCCCAGGGCCAAGGTCTGTAGATAAGGTACTATCTCTTGCCTGCCATTCAGCCTAGGAAGTCCGGGGGATCTGCCAGCGAACATGGGGTTCTAAGACGTGCCTGGCTTCCCTAGTGTGTGGTCATTCAGTGATTCCACGAGTAGCCTTGTGCCAGGCACAGACAGTGACGCAGACACGGTCCCCAGCCTCATGGAGCCAAAGGGGTGTGTCAGGGGTCTAGGCATCAGGGGTATAGCAGAGAACAGAGCCGGTGGGAGCTGTACGTGTGTGTGTACATATGTGTGTGTGTGTGTGTGTGTGTGAGAGAGAGAGAGAGAGAGAGAGAGTCAGGGCTATGTGTTAGTCAGGGTTCTCCAAAGAAATAGAACCAATAGGATGGAGTTGTATCTATATATAGAGATAGATAGATATAGATAGATCGGAATACACACACACACACACACACACACACACACACACACAGATTTATTACGAGGAATCAGGTCACACGATTCTGGAGGCTGAGAAGTCCCACAGTCTGCCGTCTACAAGCAGGAGACCAGGACAGCCAGTGAGCCTGGAGGCCTAAGAACAGGGGAGCCATTTGTGTAAATCCCAGTCTGAAGTCAGAAGATGACGTGTCCCAGCTCAAGGAGTGGGGCAGGGAAAAAAGGGGCTAATTCCACCTTACTCTGTCTTTTGTTCTATTCAGGTCCTCACCAGATTGGAAGATGCCCACCCACGTTGGGGAGGGCCATCTGCTTGCTGAGTCCACTGATTTCAAATGTGGATCTCATCCGGAAACACCCTCACAGACACACCCAGAAACAAGGCTTAATCTGGGCACCCCATGACCCCGTCAAGGTGACACACAAAATTAAGCATTCTCTACACGTTTGCCTCTTGAACAACATAGGTTTGAACTGTGTGGGTCCTCCCATATGTACATTTTTTTCCCCAATGAATACAGTACGGTCCTGCAAATATATTTTCTCTTGCTTGTGATTTTCTTGACATTTTCTTTTCTCTAGCCTACTTTATGGTAAGAATACAGTATACAATACATATGACATAGAAAATATGTGTTAACAGACTTGACGTTATCAGTAAGGCCTCCAGTCAACAGTCAGCGGCTAGTACTTATGTTCTGGGGGAGTCAAAAGCTACACATGAATTCAACG